TTTTTATTTTATTTTTGTTAATGTGAATGTGTATGCATGCATAGATGCATGCATGTGGCATCGGACGACTCGGAGGCTGTTGAGTTTTGTCCTCATCGTTTTGGGGGGGTTTGGGTTGGTTGGAAGCTGGACTTGGAAGCATGGTTCTTATCTTAGTAGAAAATGGAAATGTAATTTAGTAAATAGAGATATAAGGTCAAATTGTAAGCACCAACCTCAACATGCATGGTTGGACTTGGCGGGTACTACACGAAAGCCTGTTCCCCATCAAATAATCCATCATTAAGAGCTAAATTTTACAATAATCCCACAAATCCTTCAGAAATAAGAAATAAATAAGTAAAACTCTTGCATTTGTGTCGTAGGAGCTTCTTCTGTTTTTTGTCGGATAAGATAAAGTCTGAAATTGTGGTCTATCGGTAGCAATAAGTAGCTTCTTGTTTTATGGTATGAGGGGGAAAATTTGACAATGATTTAGAGGAGGGAGAGTTTCGAGGCCGAAATGGATGGATAGAACTCCAACACCTTATCTACTAGGACATTGGACCGTTTAGTGATATTAGAGATGGAGAGGCAACTAATACTTAGAGCTAGTTTGGTAAGGGCAGCGGTAGCAGAGTTGTTAGAGGTCGGGGTTGTGGTGGCAGTGGTAGGATTGTGGTTATGGTGGTGTTGGTGGTATTGACGGCCATGATGATAGTGATGGTTGTGGCTGTTGTGGATACAATGTGGCAATTATAGTTGTGATGGTGGTGTTGGCAACATTTACTCACGATTGCAATGATGGTGGTATAATTGTTTGTAGTGGTAGATGGTGGCAATCACATTGTTCAACTATAAAATATGAGGTGAAATAAACTAAACCGTAGTGCCGAGTAGCAGGAAAAAAGTTTGTAGTTGACTAGTTGAGGATAGGGCAACTCGAGTTTGATTATGCAGAAACATCCAATAATTTCCATAACAAATTTCTTAATAGATGTCTAAAGATAAAACGGAGTCATAAAGTTGTTAATGTTTTACATTAGTCACTAATCAAATGTGCTATGTAATTTAAAGGCCAAGGGCATAACCACCCTAAAATATGCACCTCATCACGGTTTCTTATCAGCACTGTCGTGAGCAGAGGGGCACGACAACGTCTCAGTTTTAGGCACCATCTGGCTGGCTAAAAGGGTTGGCGATCTCATCTGTACCATCTGTCGGCGACACAAGCATTACAGCGGTTCCCCTGCAAACCTGACACCATAGTATTGCACACTCAGAACTTGTTGTATAGCACAATCTGAGCAAAATAACCAGTAATATAATACTAAATCCAAAAGAAGCAAACACACACAAGCGCTAACGAATTCCGAAAAGGTATTTTACTTTGCCGAATAGCTAAAAGCATTGGATAGTTCACTGGGCACAAGCACTTTGCCAAATAGCTAAAGCAGGAACTGAGTTTCTGATTTAGTGGGAAAATGCATATGGAGGATTATCTGGATTGGAAAACTAGTTTCGAGACTCACTTAGAGTGGAAGCTTGTTAAGGTTAAACCGAAAAATACGGCCCTTTCAATGGCAGAAGAAAGTTCGAGCAAATTTGCTCAACAAGGAGAAAACAGAATATGCAAAGCAGCTTTTAGCAGCTGATTAAATGATGGATTTGCAACAGAAATTCCACTCACTATATACCAGAAGGAAGGACCATAGACAAATATTTGAGTAAGTTTAATGGACTCGCAGTCTCTGTCGTGGCAAAATTAGCACTTTTATTCTCAAGGACGGTACTAGTTGGACTATTGTCTCAAAAATAGGTTGAATTTTTAAGTTGGCTACTAGATGGGGTAAGGAACTGAGGTACCAGTCATATAACTCAATTACATCAAGAGACAATATTGAAGATGAAGTTATGTGTGTCAAAGTTCCCACAGATTCATGTCGCATTATGTAATAAAAAAAATAGTTGTACGATGACATGATGCATTAAATAAAGCCAACAAGTATTGGTCCGAAGAGTAAACAAGAAGTATACAAGTTTGCATACTCTAAGATAAGTCACTAACCCCCCCAAAGGATCAAATGAATTTTTCACCTTTGAGAAGTTTCAAATTATGAGCAAGCGATGGGTAGTCATGTGTGCATTGTCTGAGAGGAATTTAAAGGATGACCAGCCCTAGAATTGACCGAGCAGAACTTTAACAACATTTGAAAGACTTCAAAGTGTAACTTAGTGATGATTTTGCAGATGAGTTCTCCATTGATAAAATGCAAGAACCATGCCAAAAGATTAAGTTCATCTAGCCATGATCTTTTATGCTTAGAAAAGTTAGCATGTTGGTCCCGTGCCCAACAGAAAACTTAACACTAAAAAATAATCTCAGGTTTCACCCAAGATGCCTCAAAATTCCATGATATGCTATAAGAAAAGTACCCAAAAGGCAAACTATATTCAAGAATTAACACAGTTTTTAAGCAAGATTCCAACCCAATTGAACTTGAAGTTTCTGTGATTTAGTTATATGAAGGGTACTTTGCGCACTTGTTTTCCTATTCTTCGGAGCAGTACCCTACTGATCATACACGCGGACTTGTTTTACTAATCTCAGAGCTTTTCCCTATAGTTGGATCAGCTTGGGGGGTATTCCCCTAATTCTAGTCAAATATAGTTGACTAATAAAGCAGGGAGGTCCAAGCCATTTTCTTAACATGCTAAGCTTCTCTTGGGTCTGATGATTATTCTTTCTTTACTAATTTTCCCCTTAGATTTTCATTTCTCCTCTTACTGCTATATTCTCACTGCTGTGATCAGATAATCAGAAAGTATCACAACCAGGCATACCATAAATCCTAACAACTTTAGGCATAGTTGAATACTACTAAACCAGCAGCCAAAATCTATATGTATACATGAAATTCCTGCGCTGTTTTTTTTAAAGATCCTACGACAAAGATATACTAGAAGAATACATACTATGAGGCCAAGGCGCCTGGTCTGATCAGTGGTCTTCAATGGATCATCAGAATCTGCAAAGCAAGGGAAAGATTCTCAAGTCAACTAAGCATTCACTAGGAAAGTTCCCAAAATCGTGAAGTTTAAACACACACATCGTAAATGGTTTCTGGAATGCTGTGAAACATTTACCTCTTAGAAACTCCACTGCTTCATCTAGGACAAGGTTTAACAACTGGTCATATCCTTTCAGAGTCCCTGTCACTGTAACCAAATTCACAACAGAAAATCAAATTGTGCGTATAAAATAGGTCATAAGAAAGCTCAAAAAAAAAAAAAAAAAAAAAAAACTCCCATTAATATTTTCCTAACGAGCGCGATGTAAATCCTGGTGTCATTAGTTTCTCTTCAGTGTCACCACATATCCTGGATCATATCATAACATATTTACTGTACAACCTACAACGGGTGTGGATTTCTACATTCTAAATCTTCGAGGTTGTTTGATTTGGATCTTGAAACCTCCTATTTCGGGTTACACAGAACCAAAAATTGCTTGAAGTATGACACCCTGCAAGAAAAACACTTAACTAAACCTATCGCTACCGCTAATCAAATAACCAATAACCAACAACAATGTGCACATAATCCAGAATCTAAAATTAACTAACTAGAATTCATTTGAAAAATTCGGCAAAGTACAATAACCTTGTCTCCCGCCGGTGAGCTTGACTTGGACACCTTTGTCCACAAACTTGGCCAGGTCCAAAACTGTTTCTTTCCTCCCTGACTGAAACAAAAAAACACAATTTCAAAATATAATCAAATTCTTCAGCTTTTTTTAATTTTTATAAATCTTCGCGGGTTTCAAAATTACCATTTTTATTGAGCTCCGTTCGGTTCAATTCGCCGATGAAGCTCTCCACTCAAAAACCCTAAAATGCTATAAATTTTTGGGGAAAAAAACAACAAAAAGTTAGACAATTCGATGAACCAAATGGGAGTCCATCAAGTGAAAATTGAGTATAAAATTGTATAAACATTTAATCAAAACCTAGGGTTTCTGAAAACCCCAAAAGAGATCGAGGACTACTTTAAGAAATTGTGTACGACAAATTACCAGAAAAATTAACATAAAAAATTATAAGATTTAAAGAGAAATACTGAAGAAGTGACGCATACGAGGGTGAAAGTCAGTACCTTTATCTCTGTGATTTGGAAAATTAGAGAGATATGAGACAGTGAAGAAGATGAGACGCTTTGGCAGCTTAGCGGGAGCTTTTAGATTAGTTCAGGGTTTTGAGTTTTTATTTTTTATTTTTTATTTTATTTTATTTTTATATATACAAAAGGAGGTTTTTACCGATCTATCTATTTATAAAGTTGAACTGTAATTGATTAAAGTTAAAATTCATAAGAAAAATTAATGAATCGCTAAGACTTATTTTAAATATTATTTCTAAATAATTTAGCTAAATCACACATTTGCAAAAAAATTAAAAAAAAAAAATTTCGGTACTAAAAAAGTTTAGGAGATGGAAGATTGCCTAATTAAGTATTGAATTCAAAACAAATATGTCGTGTTGGATATTTTTACAACCAAAAAAATTATTCAAATCCAAAGTTATATTATAGTATTTAGACCAGCAAAACAACGGCTCGCATGTTTAATTTTTCGTAAACATTCGCAAAATTGGGTTAAGAATATCATCACATCGACATTCCTTTCATTTTAAGTGAGAGGTCTTAAGTTTGAATTTCGTGGATGACGAATTCGATACCAAATTAGGCTGCCTATTGTGTGACTTAATCAAACTCTCTCTTCTCTTAATGTAAAAATATTGATGTATGAAAAAAAATTGTTATCCTAAATTTGGGCTGCGGTGTTTAGTTGGGTCTGGCCCAGTTTTTCCAAAACAAACCCAATTAAAGGATTAAAAGCAACTAGAAAGACAAAATTAACCTTGCATCTTTATCATAATAGTCAAGACAGTGATGTAGTTTAGTGAAAACATAAGGGTATTTAATGAAATGTCCATCAGTATATGATCGCCCTATCGCTAAAGCCCTAGGGCTTATTGAGCAGCCGACGGAGAGCAAGTTCATTGCAGCAGGGAGCCGGAGGTGAGCTCAGAGCTTTAACAATGGCGGAGAAGGGCCGCGGCAAGGGAAGAAAGGAGGAGGTAGTCACCAGAGAGTACACCATCAACCTCCACAAACGCTTGCATGGATGGTAAGCCCTCAGAATTTTACTGGTATTTTGTTCTTGGTTTAGATCTTAGTTTAAGGAGGTTAATTTGATTTTGATCTTTGTTTTTTAATGGTTTTATTTTGTGGGGTGTTTGAGCTAAAAGTGATGAAATAATTGTTTTTTTTTATTGCATTTTTTAATTTGTTGGGTCATGGATCAAAATATAAGCTTTGGAGTGAGATAATTAGGGTTTTGAGCAGCTTTATCAATATTTTTTTTTATAGCTTCTTTCATTTCCTAAATCTTTGGAGAATTCCTTTTCAATGATGGTTTTATGTTTACTAGGGTATTGATTAGTTAGTTGCTTCACAAGAAGGCGAGATTTTCATTGTGCCCGGAACACAGGACGGTATGCCATAGAAGTGAGGGAAGTTTTTATTTCATGTGTTCCTTCACTTACATAATGACATATGGCGTATGTGCCCGTGGTCGGGCACATTGAAAAATCTCTCCACAAGAACATTGTTGATGGTTTGTTCTTAGGAGAAAGTGAATTGTTGATTTGCCAACATTCTTTGATGTCCTCCTAGGCTCCGATTGTTATAGTTATTCACGGCTTAAATTGAAGGGTTTTGTGGGCAAAATGTGCCTTGTTTGTTAAATATTGATTACATTCTTGATTTTCGACATCGCCCAATTGGACACGAGGTGTAGTGGAGTATTAAGTTATGATGCACTGGTGAGAAGCCTGACCGTTTAGTGATTTAGAAGATTGAACGGTTACTATTTTCAGAAAGCTTCGTTAAATAAAAATATATGGTTATCTGAATTGCGTTGCAGGCTCCATTTCTGCAGCAGTGTTTCTCTATATGTTTTCGCAAAGTTTGGCATTAGTTGGGCAATTTGCTTATCACACTGTTAATTATCCGTTGTCTTAATTCCCATGCAGCACATTTAAGAAGAAGGCACCAAATGCGATAAGGGAAATCAGGAAGTTTGCTCAGAAGGCTATGGGAACCCCTGATGTCAGAGTGGATGTTAAGCTCAACAAGCACATATGGAGCCGTGGCATTCGGAGTGTGCCAAGAAGGGTACGCGTCCGCATTGCACGGAAGAGAAATGATGATGAAGATGCCAAGGAAGAGTTTTACTCGCTAGTCGCTGTCACGGAGGTCCCTCCAGAGGGATTGAGTGGTTTGGGCACCAAGGTGATCGATGAAGAAGAAAGCTGAACTCCGTTTAAACCCCCATTTTTGTTCTAGTTAGTTGATCCCAATTTCGGTTGTACTTTTGTTTAATTGAGGATGTGTGGCCTGGTTTTGTCTGTTCTTGGAACTTTTAAATCAGAGTTTTTGAATGGTTTAATTAGTGTTTTGTCGTCTTTAGTATATCTCTCATCACGAGGTATACTCCGGTAGTGGCGGAGCTAGAATTCTAAGTGAGGATGGACCTTTCACAAATATATATATGCATGTGTGTAAAAGTTGAATTCTTAACATGTTAATATATGCAATTTGTGTAATCTTCACAAAACTGAAAACCTCTAAGAAGAAAAATATGTACAAACCTAGATAACCAAGTAAGAGGTAGATTGTGGAAGGCTAAAGAAAATACAAAGAAGTAGAAAATTAAGGATTAGGGGAAGAGGTGGGGGATTGCTTTAGAAAATTATAGGGTGTATAGTACCGTTAGCTGAGAGAATCAAACTAGTAGTGAGGTTGTTTTTTCCATTTAAAATGAAATTGCACGTCTCTTCTAAAAACTCCCCTACCAAAGTCATTGTTTCATTAAACAGTTAAACAAATTCAAAACCAAAGCAGCCTAATGGCGTTGTTTGCTTCATCTTCTTCCATGAGGTTCACACACTCTGCAAATAAAAACTTGAAGTCATTGGTTGATTTCATACACCTTTCACAGAAGTCAGGATGGGCCTAGGACTACCCTAATCCTTTAGTGGCACCGCCCCTGTACCCCGGGTAACATTCTAGAATTTACCGGGGAGATTCAAAAGGTACACCTTGAAGGTGACCCAAAAGACTTCCAAGCTGTCCAACTTACGATTCAAATTCCTTTTGGCTAACGAGGTTTAGCTGATCAAGTTATGGTAAAGCAATGATTTTGTTGAGTGCATATCTAAGTTTACCCAAGTTGATTAGAGCTTTGCCCTCTGCTCTCTACACCCAAATTCGAATTCTTGGTGAATTATTTCTAGTCCACTCTAGTTTCTAAAATTACTTTTAATATGTATTGTTTAAACATGGCAACCTTTCATTGTAGGGGTATGCTATCCACACATCCCAAATTACTTCCTACACATCCCTTGTTAATTTCTGTTCGTTGATTTTCTTCAATTCATTCGATCCGACAGTCGAAAATTAAAAGGTTGCGTAAGAAGTAAAATGGGGTGTGTGGATATCACAACCCTTCATTGTAATGTTCTTGTAATTGGATCTAGCTTACCAAGTAGTTTGACAAATGGTTTTTTTTTTTTAACATTGATATTATCTATATTAAGGGGGTGAGGGAGTGGGCTGAGCCTCACTGAGCTAACCATAAGAAATGTGGTTCAAATTCGCCTTTGGCGATGATTGAACTTAAGATCTTTCACTTACAAGTAAAGAGAAATATTACTTGACGGTAATACTAAGTAACAAGTATTTTGACATTTTAAAGAAGGGTAGTGTTAGGGAGACCAAAATTTTAAACCAAATAATGTGTCATCAATAAAAAACAAGTACGTTAATTGACACTTAATTAATAATCCAATCATCTACAACTACATCATTTGATTTAAAAAATTTTGATCTTCCAAGCATTACTCTCTACAATCTTCACTGTTCGATTCTTATATTTAATTTTCTAACGTTCAATTTTTTAAATTCAATCTTTACCGTTGATTTTCCAATCGACTCAATAATCTCGCAATATTTTTTAAATAGAGAGGGAAAAAAACACTTTCTTTACGACTTGCCTCCTTATTTCACAGTTTTACGTTGCAGCGCCTAGAGATCCTGCCCGCGAAGTTTCTTTTAAAAAACAACGTCCCGCCAGTCCTCCTGCCCAAAAATAATAACAAAACTCGCAGCCAAACATACCCGCTCAAACCGCAGAAGTTGCAGAGCCACTCACCAACACTCACTGGCAGACAGAGAGAGAGAGCTAGCGAACGATCATCAGGATGCCGTAATCTTCTGCATTGTACTCTCCTGCAGATAGAGCTAACTTCCACTGAGGTAATTTCTCTCTCTCAACTCTCTTACTTTTGCGATTTTAGAATTCATTTTTGTTGCAAATTAGGGATTTCAGAGAGGGGAAGTGGAATTGTGAGTTCTTGATTTTGAATTCGGCATTTGGAAGGGCCAAGATCCACACTCACTGCAACCAAAGAGAATCGTAATGTTCTCTCTGATTCAAATTGCTGATTGTATATATTTATTCATTTGGATCTCAAGCTATGTTAGTTCGTCGCAGCTTTTCGAGCTTTATGTGAAATTAATTGAATTTGCTTTGCTTGATTAGTGTGGATATTCTTAGGCATTGTTCTTTCTGCTTTTTGGAGATTGTTTGTCCCTTGCATTAAGATGAATTTCATTTTCTGTTTCATATTTTTCGATTTTAGCTATGGCTGCTTGTTTTGCTTATTTTTGGTTTTTGTTTGTTATGTAAAAAAATTCAGAGATGGACTCTCTCAAAGTAGGTTGTGACCCCATCGACAGTGAATTGGATGGTGTGGACTATGTCTCTGGGCTTAGTACTTTACTCGTTGCGACGATTCAGGAAGCCAAAGACAGGATTTCTCAGATTGAATACGTTTTCTGCAATCAGCTTTATACATATTTCGAATCCAAGTCTAAAAGCTTCCAGAAATTTGAAACCCAATGGAAAGAGAAAGAAAATGATCTCTTACGTCAAATTGAAACACTTCGAGCTGAAAAGCAACAAACCCTTGAAGAGAACCGCTTACTCAAGCTTGACAAGGGAAATCTGTCCAAGGAACAGGAAGAGAAGGTGAACCAACTACTTGCCGAACTGAAGGGTGTACAGTTCAAAGGTAATGAGCTTGAGCGAATGCTTAAGCATAAGTCTACGGAAGTAGATAAGGGTATGGAATTGGAGAGTAAGTTGCTCGGAGTGATTCAATCCAAAGACGCTGTCATTATGGATAAGGAAAAACAACTGAAAGAGAATGAAGAAAGTAGAAACATGCTTCTTGCTAAATTAAGTGATCTTGAAAATAGAGTTGATGAACTCCAAGAGGAGCTCGGGGAAAAGATTAACCAAGTAGCCAATAGAAATGAGCTTGAAGAAAATTTATTTCGAAAGGTTGAGCATCAGTCTTCTGAGATCATGAATAAAGAAAAGCTTCTGAATGATCAAGAAGAAGAGAAAAAACTTCTCAGGGCCAAATTGGAAATTTTGGAAGAAAATGTTAGTCAACTCCAAAAGGAGCTCCTTACAAAGAACAATGAAGTGGAGGGTTATCTGAGGGAAAAAAAACAGTTTCTAGCCAAAGTAACTAGTTTAGAGGAAAAAGTTGATGAACTACAGGCGGATATTAGAGGTATGGCTGGCGAAGTGACCAAAAGAAGGGATTCATGTGAAAAGTTATATCAACAGATTGAATCAATGAACTCGGGTTTACAGGCTGAGAGGAAGAAGTACACAGATCTTACTGGTGCTTACAAAAACCTGAAATCTCAGCACAAGTATCTCCGCACAAAGCTTGGTCTTACAAGGGAGAATGTGCTACCCCAGAATAAGTTGGAAGATAGAAGTGATTTGTTGAGATATGATCAAAATCCATCAACTTCACATGGTATGATGCTCTTTCTGTTTTGTTCTTTCCATCTTTATTAGTCTTTTGAAAATGAAATATAAATACTCTAAGAGAAAATGTTTGTTAGTACAAACTACAAACTTATGATTATCTGCCAAATGTTGTTTTACTGGATGATTTTGGGTCCGCTGATTTTCGTCTGTTACCTTTCAATTGAAGTTGTTGTAAGAAATATGTATTACTGGAATTTATGGTTCTTCCAATTATAGCTTTACTAGATGATATTGGGATGGCTGATCTTGTATCTTACTTTTGAATTGAGGTCCGAGTGGTATCTTTTACTTTTAAAAACATTTTCTATTCCTAAGTTTATAGTAATAGGGGAATAGCACACATGCACGTAGCTTTAGCTTGTGGTTGGGTTTTCCATTGTTCCTGGTACCCTTGTTTGATCAATTCATCTATTGCAAATTGTAGATCTTGTCGAGAAAAATCAGAATGCTTCTGCGTCAACTTTATGCACAAAAAAAGTGAGGAATGAAATCAGTTGTAACAATAACTTGGAGGATGTGAAAGGAGGCAAGCCAATTCAAGCAGCTAGTCCTATCTCTTCTACTTCCTTCTTCCCCATTGCACAAGAATGCCCTCCCACCTCAAAATCTGCCCCAGTAGCTGGGAGAAAACGGCCTGCTTCCAGTTGGGTGGATACTAGGACGCGTCAAGGCCAAGATGGGCCTGATCCACACGATGATTTTCTTGATACCCCACTTGAGAACATTAGAGGAAACTTGAATAAAGCGACAAAGGAACAAGTTCCTGGTCGTCCAGTTCCAGTTCCAGCTCCAAATGACATGAATGTAGATAGCTCAGATGATGAAACACAGGATGTGAACACTGTAGTTAGGCCACAGAAGCAGCAGATGCCAGCTCCAGTGGCCGGTAAAAATGGTTTCAAGTTTGTGGAACCTGTAAGAAAGAAAGCTGAGCGGGAAAATTTGAAAGGAGTTGAATGCAAGCAGTGCAAAAAGTTCTATGACGCTGTCCTTCCCAATGAAGGCTGTGGTAAGGACACTGATAATAATAAGCATAATTTTCGCTGTGAGCACCATGAAGGTGTTTCTCGTCATCGGTATAGGTATGCTCCCCCCCTTACTCCAGAAGGGTTTTGGAATATTGGATTTGAATCTGAAATGTGATATTGAGAAATTTTTTATTCATTTTCTTTTTGTAGATCATTGATTTGTAGTGATATTTAATTTCATATAAAAAAAAGGTCCAAAAAACTCTTTTCCTAGAAATTTGTCAACTAATAAACAGTAGTTTCATAATTTGACATCATCTTGTAATATCCTTTATTACAGGACACAGTATTTGAATTTGAATTTCTGAATTTGGAATTATAAAATCATCTGCTAAGTATTTTAGGTTGAGAACAGAACACCATGGAACTTCCTTGGTTTTTGAAAAGCTTATTTGTTTTGAATATCTAGACCCATTAGATGATGATATCTTTATGTGCTAAACGTCTTGATCTACTTGCTTGTCAAGCAATTCTCGGTTGCCTTTGAACATGCTTATATTTACCTCATGTATTACTTATGAGACTTATTG